TGGCCCAAATCCAACTTGCCGTCAACTTCGCTCGTAATCTCAACCTCCGCTTGGTTGTAAAGAACACTGGCCACGACTTCAACGGTCGCTCTTCCGGGTCAGGTGCTCTGTCCGTCTGGACTCACTTCCTAAAGAGCATCAACTTCTACATCAACTACAAGACAGGATCCTACTCTGGCCCGGCCCTCAAGGTTGGCGCTGGTGTGCAAGGATTTGAACTGTATGAGGCCGCTGAGAAGTATGGCGTGACCGCAGTTGGCGGGGAGGGCATGACCGTTGGTTACGCCGGAGGCTACCTGGCCGGTGGTGGCCACTCGCCCATGTCACCCAAGTATGGCATTGCAGCTGACTCAGTGGGAGCAACCCGACTATCTCGCATGCAACACAACGTTGCTAATGATGTTTCTAGGTCCTGAGCATTGATGTTGTCACCCCTGATGGCCGATTTGTGACCGCCAACGAGAACCAAAACACTGAGCTCTTCTGGGCCCTGCGTGGCGGTGGTGGCAGTGAGTTCATCTTACCACACAACATTGGGACACCACAGCTGACCCTGTGCAGACACTTTCGGCGTCGTGACCTCATACGTTGTCAAGGCTTACCCCAAGCTCGACAGTGTTGCCGTCATGACCTTCAGCTTCAGCACCGGCGCAAACATCACCAACGATGCCTTCTGGGCCGCTGTCAAGGCCTACTGGGAGGGCTTGCCTACCTGGAATGAGGCCGGCAACTATGAGTACTGGAACATCTTCCACACTGGACCGGAAACACTCACCTTCACCATGCTTCCCTGGTTCGCCCCCAACATGACTTTGCAGGAGCTCAAGGACCTCACTGCCCCTCTCTTCGCGAAGTGGGCCGCCCTCGGCGTCAATGTTTCCCCTGTCTACTCCGAGCACACGAGTTTCCTGCCTGCCTGGAAGGCCGGTTTCCCCAAGGAGCTCGTCGGTGGTACGGCTGCTAAGACTGCCTGCCGTCTCTTCCCCACCGAGAACTTCGCCGATGCCACTAAGTTCAATGCCACTTTCGAAGCCATCAAGGGCTTGAGTGACAAGGGCGGCGAGATCATCGGCTTCGGAATCACCGGTGGCCCCGGCCCCTACCCCGATAACGCCGTCAATCCGGCGTGGCGCGGAGCCGCCATGTTCGCCATCTCAGTCATCGGATGGCCTGTTGGTTCTTCCATGGAAGTCGCTGCCGAGAGATCCAAGCTCTTGACAAACGAGTGGATGCAGCCCTGGCGCGATGTCACGCCTGGAAGTGGCGGCTATGCCAGCGAAGGTGATGTCACTGAGCCCGACTTCAAGCAGTCTTTCTACGGAACGGAGAAGTACGCTCGTCTTCTTGCGTTCAAGCAGAAGATTGATCCTAACGGAGTGTTCTATGCCAACCTGGGTGTTGGAAGTGATGACTGGTACGTCACGCGCCAGCTTGACGGACTGCCTACGCAGAATGGTCGACTGTGCCGAGTATGAACGGTGTTCACATAGCGTTCGGGTGTTATTAGACGAAGCTTCACTTATAGACATAATTCATCGTCTCCATACGTATATTGACCATCAACGACGCGAGATAGTGACTGAATAGCTGTGAACCACGGTCGTTATTGATCTGTTTGAAGATTTGCAATCGGGAACCCTTGAGCCGCCTCGTCTCGGAATCGCTCCCAGACGCTGGAAAAATGAGTCCCGTCGTTATACTCGTCCGCCGTCAACTGAATGCCGCTACTGTTAGCCGGTTGTCAGCGAGTTTGATTCAGAGGACACTTCAAAACGAGAAACGGTCGAAACCGTGTTACTCACCATCTAGCAGTCGTAAGTCCACCCCAAGCATGTACCGTCGGTGCAGGCAACACAATCCTTTTTGCCGTTAACACACTCCTGGCAGTAGAAGCCGTCGCGTGTCTGGCGCATTTCTACATCGCTACCAGTGGAGGCAGGAGCAGCGGCAGAAAAAGCTGACACGAAGCCCAGAGCTGTAAGCAGAGAAATGAACTTCATGTTGGTGAGCGGTATGTGGGAAGTGACTTTGCGTTTGGATGAATAGAAGAGAATGCTGGTTGAGATTGCAACATCTGCGCAACTTACGATTGGCGGAGGCAGCCTCTGAATTTATACTTATTGTCTTCCAACTGGGCCACGACTACCTAAAACTGCCAAGAGCCGTTGTGGACTTCAGGCGATTCCAACAACGATGTGCAATTACGACCGGGTTGATTTTGTGCCGCGATCGGCAGCAACGGAGCTTCAACCCCTCACACAACGTTGGCAATGTGGAAAATGGTCAGAGACCGCGCCGAGAATTACATCAACTTTTGACAGAATACGAGGTTGCAGAATTTAAATGCGAGAAGATATCCAGTTTTACCATAGCTTGCAGGAGAGGGCAGGACGTTTTGACATTTAAGTGGTGGGTTTATGGGCGGGTCAGGGCCCAATATGGCAAGTCGCGAAGACGGCAGCATTGGCATCGCCTGTGGACATATCCGATATGCAGTGCATATGGGTAAACGGAAATGTCTAGATGAAAGTTGTATCGGAAAAGGATCGAATATCCATCGGTAAAGAAGCTTAATGTACCTGATCGTCAATTTCGATTGTGTCTACGTCATGGCATGACCAGCCAGGACTCAAACTAAAGTTGCCCATCATTTATCGATGTTCAACCATATCCACCATGGCATCGCTCTTCTCCGAATTAGCATTGGAGAACACATCCACCTTCGTAGATGAGAACTTGCGCGCGCTGACACCCTGCTCAAAGAGCATCTCCAGCTCAGCGGGGGAACGTCCCATAGGCTCGGGAAGGTAAAAATAAGCCCAAGCCAGTTCACAGAAGCAGATACCCGCCCATATGAAGCCTCCCTTCCCGCGGAGATTCCAGGCGCTCGGATTCAGAATGGGCGGGTTAAGAAAGTTGGCGCCGATGCTGACAAGGAGGTACGAGTTTCGCGCGAGAGCAACGGTCTTGATGCGGAGGCGTGTTGAAGGGATTTCGGCGACCAGACAGTAGCAAACCGGCCCAACGGTCATGTCGTACGTGATTACGAACAGCATCAGCAGAGCACCAGAAGCCCAGCCCAAGCCTGCCGTTGGTGCTGGAATGCCCATGCAGCCGACGGTAAAGAGAATGATGAATAAGATGCCGAGGCCAACGACGTAGAGTGTGCGACGTCCGATGTGGGGAAGCAGAAACCAAGAAAGAATGGTTCCGACGATAGCCATGGCGCTTACACCGAGTCCGAAGTTGAAAGAGTTGTCAGAGTCGAAACCGGCTTGTTGGAGGAAGTAGATGACGTTGCTTCCAAACCAAACACCAGAGGCGACTTGGCCTATCCAGGTACCGCAAGCAATCATGGTGCGACGCCGATTGGTCCCTTTGAAGCAGTCGATGTACGATGTTCCTTCCTCATTTTGTCTTTCCATCTCGTTGGTGTGCGCAATCATCGCGATGTTGACGTCAAGTTGAGCATCTGAGACAGAAGAGTTGGCCAGGCGACGCAGTGCCTTACGAGCCTCTATCAGACGACCTTTGCGAACAAGCCAAGTAGGGCTCTCCGGGGCGAAGAGAACACCAACGATGATGGGGATCGGGAATGCCCATTGAATGGCGTAAGGAATACGCCAAGCCCAGTCATCGGTTCGTGATAGCACACCTCGAAGGACTCCTGTGCTAATGAATTGCCCGATAACCCAACAGAAGTTGGTATACGTGGTCATGCTAAAGTAGACAAATGATTAGCTGTATGATCTCTTGTTAGGGCTGTAAACAGAGGACAGATGATTTCGGACTCAAACGAAACAAGGGAAAAGGGTGGGATTACGGACATCGGTCGTAGCGCCATTGGTGTTACATCTGCAGCGTACGTAGTGGTAAGAGTCTGAAATGCTCCCCATGGCAAACCGCAAAGCATTCCTCCAGCCAGCAGAAACCCAATGTTCTGGGCAAAGAAGAAAAGGAAGATGAAGGCGATGTTGAGAATCAGAGCACCGAGAAACGTCTTCTTGTAACCAAACCGCTCCGCAAGAATGCCACCGAAGAAAAGGCCAATCATCTGGCCAACTTGAGTGCCGTTTTGCAAGCCTGACTGCCAAGTCGAAGTCAATTGGTAGTCGCCATTGGCCAAACGTTCGCCGAAACGTCTGTTAAATTGAGGGAGACCGTAAAAGTTGCCGATCAACGAAGTGTCGTAAGCTTCCATAACAATGCAAAGTGAAAGAACCATCGAAAATCCCACCGCCTTCGGGTATGCCTTGAATGATTCGAAAACAGACATGTTCTTTTGATCTTCGGTGGCCGCTTGAGCGTCATGAGAGACATAGCCCATCTTGCTCAGGCTGTCCGAGTTCTGGTTCTCCAAGGCTTTTGCATCGGTAACTGCGTCTGCCGACTTGGAGTCGCCTTGGCTGGAATTGTTCATGGCGTTAGCTGGCGAAGGAAATCTGGAGAAGCTGGGGAAGTCTGGGGAAATCTGGGTGAACAGTCTGAACGTTTCATTCCCAAACGCATGCTATATATATGTCAGAATAGAATTTGGGAATAGAATCTTCTTTGGAAGCACTTGTCAGTGACAACTGCCAAGATGCTGTTGGTGTCTTTGGTATTCCGTCCGTCTGTAAAAAATCAGGTGACTAACAACGCAAGCCACGGGCATACTAGCCTGCATGGCTCTAGCCGCCTTGTTCTATGTGGATATGCGGGCAGGTCTGGGGAATTTTAGGCGACAAATTCAAGCGAAAAGGTCGGAACTATGCCGTCGCATTATTTCTCGTTGAAACTCCCCATTAACTTCCAGTCTAACAACTGGGCAGAATATCAACAGCGTCTCGGCGGCCAGCAAATCAGCGCACGCACCCAACTTCCCCACCTCCACAGTTCGGTTGATTTATTCGGTTGAAATCCCCTTTGACATGCAACTGTCTTCAACTATCGTGTATTCACTCTTGAATATCTCGTCAGAATATCTTCTATCCTGACAGGTGATCACCAGCAACCGAACCATGCAAAAGCGAAAGACACGCGTGAGCAACCCCTGCGACGGGTGCTCTTTGCGGAGAGTACGATGCAATGGAGGGCCCCCATGCACCGAGTGCTGGAAGCGCTCCTTGGAATGCACGTTCCTTCGAGTTCCTCGCAAGAGAGGCCCGAAAGGACCTCGGATGAGTACTTCCAACAAAATAGTGCAGTACCAGGAACAGATTCGGAATGATCAAGAATTTCAATCAAGCACCGAGAGCCCGAAAACCCCACAAACACCTTTGGAGTCGCCTCTTTCAACTGGCGAGGATTGGCAAGTTCGACAACGCCGAAGACAATTTTCGAGACCGCAGAGCAGTTCCTTGGATAGCCCACAACTATCTCCTCTGGGGACTCAAGGTCACGACAATGCCAATTTGCCACTTCGGCTTTACATCAAATACTTGACCAAGTTTAAGGACTGTCTCATCTGGGTCTGGCCGATTGTGGATATCGACTCTTTAGTATCCCGACTCGTCAGAAACTCCCCCGATGACTACGAAGCCTACGCACTGGCTGGAGCGGTCTGCGCCACCGTCATCGCGCAACTTCGACTTTCTCAACTGCGATTTTCGAAGCAAAATGGGTCCATGTCTGACCTAAACGACATTGCTGAAAGCTTTGCCCGTCACGCGCAATATTTGCGTGACCAACACAGTTACCGGGAGAGCGAATCTATCGACTCCCTGCTGACCGCATTCTTCTTGCACATCTACTTTGCCAATACGGAAAGAATCCGAGCTGGGGCGATGTACTTGCATGAAGCCATTGCCCAACTTTCTCTGCAGAACCTACATCGTCCGGAAACATTCGATCAACTTCCAAACGAGCAGAGGGAGCTCATGTTGCGGATCTTTTGGCTGGTGTTTGTCACTGAGCGGTATGAACGCCCCTCGAATCCAGTTACAGCCCCCCTGAAAACGAGTTAGGCGAGGCCAGCATAGCTGACTCCTCTTCCAGAACTTTCTGTGTTCAAAATGGGTTTCCTACCTGCCTCTCACCTATTCAAGATTGGCCGTCTTTGGACTGCCTAATACCAGGAATAGGTGGGCTGGATCCATCATTTCAGATGCTTGCTCAGCTTTTCACGCTACTCGATGATAACCTCCTGATGACAAGAGAAAGGCTGACCCCAAAGTCGGACCCACGCACCGAAGACAACCTCTACCGTGGTGTGTCGGCCATGGCTGAGTGCAGTGTTTCAGCGATTGGACCGACACTCCCTGAAATTCAGCGAGTCAACGTCATGGTCACTTGGAACTGGATTCACATCCTCTGGTGGCAATACGCTCTTCGACACTATCAGATGTCAAGTAACATGGATGACGCCATGCTGAGCATGCTTAGACCCGCCTCAGTTGCTCACGAGACCGTACAGCTTTTCTCATCTGTCTCCAAACAGGCGATCCAGACCCATGGATACGGAATGGTTGGTCTTATCCCCATGTTCCGCTTGTGCATCGGCTAACCGTCAATAGGAGTTGAAGATCTTCCGCATCGCCGACTCCTTAGTGGACTTACTGGCCTGCAACAGGAGACTTCCGAGTGGCCCTAGGCCCACTGGCACCGGCATGCTTCTTGGGGCGAGAGACACGCTACACGCACTCCAGAGCGCCTTGATTCTCATAGGGGGTGAAGAATCTTTGTTTCATAAGAAGCTCCAGCTTTTCATGGCCGAGGTACAGCTTCCAGTGCCTAATGTTCGGCCAATAGGGCTTGCAGATCCAGAAGCCGCTACGGACGATGACGAGGATGAAAGGAATGTTGGGGAAAATCAACTTTTCCCTCAGTGTTATATTTAGCGATATTTAGCGATTTACTAACAGCAAAGTGCTGAGACTGACAATGTGGGCCACCATCGAGAATCAGTCATGTTAGCGATCATACATACGGCGAGGCATCGAGAGATCTTCGATCAAAGTGCCGTATTTGCAGGGCCAGAGGTTGTGCTTTTGATCCGCATCCTTAATGCATCCTTCTCTGCGTCTGTGATGTACCCTGTCAAGTCCCATCTTGCTCCCACTCTCCTCGTTATATTCATCATCGATACTTCGTCACTATTAGGTTGCTCCTATAGGCCACATCTGCCGTCAATAATTTCATTATCACCCCTGAAATAGTGGTGGAGAAGGTCTCAGCGAGCATCACAAAGGTGGTGAAAGCGAACAGTTTTGACGAAGAATTCAAGCGAAATCCCGGCGAACATTTCCAGATTGTTGCGGAGCAGGGTGGGGTGCATGGCTCCCACGGCATTAGAGATGGCACAGAGCAATGACCAAGACTAGTCGCTCTTTTTTTTTAACGAAGTCTCTTTCATCACGATCATCATGACCTCCGGGCATTCCTCTGCCGACATTCGTCTCATAGTGAGGTGCTCGACCACGACTTGAGCATTCATAGAAATGGCACAATTCAAGTTCGAGACGGATCCCGTCGCGGACAGCGACGCGATCATAAGCGGGCCAAATTACCGCTTCACTGTCATCAACGACTTCGTTCTTCGATATGAATGGGCAGAGGACAATGTTTTCGAAGATAGAGCCTCCACGTTTGCCATCAACCGACGCTTCCCCCGAAAGCACAAACCTCTCATCAAAGAGACAGAGCACCGACTCGAGATCGTCACGCCGACTATCCACGTCTCGTACGACAAGAAACGCTTCAGCCCCCATGGCTTCACCATCGAAGTTACACATCAGACGACCATGTGGGAGACTACATGGCGATTTGGGACCGAGCCAGGTTTCAACCTTGGAGGGACGGCACGGACTCTCGATGGTGTTGACGGCCGATGCGACATGGGCTCTGGAGTCCTTTCTCGGGCGGGCTTCTCTGTCATTGATGACAGCGACAGCATGCTGTTCGACGGAGAGGGGTTTATCGCCCCGAGAAGACCGGGAGATCGCGTGGATGGATATCTCTTTTCTTTCGGAAGCGACTTTAAGGGCGCGATGAAGGCCTTCTTCGACATCTCCGGACGCACTCCACGACTTCCTCGATGGTCGCTTGGGAACTGGTGGAGTCGATTCCACAAGTACACGGCTGATTCGTATATCGAGTTGATGGACAAGTTCCGCGACCAGGGCATTCCGCTATCCGTTGCCGTCATGGATATGGACTGGCATTTGGCTGATGGAAATGAGGTGCCTCATTCGGGCTGGACCGGCTACACCTGGAACAAGGAGCTTTTCCCTGACCCGAAGGCATTTGCAGATGCACTGCATCAGCGAAACCTCAAAATAACGCTGAACGATCATCCGCATGTCGGTATCGCACATCACGAGGAGCAGTATGAAGAGATGGCCGCCTTCCTCGGGCATGATACATCTGAGAAGACACCAATTCTCTTCGACCCAACAGACCCCAAATTCATGGAAGCCTTCTTCAAAATTCTTCACCGCAGCTTGGAGAAGAAGGGATGCGATTTCTGGTGGATTGACTGGCAACAAGGCCCCTACTCCAACGTCCCTGGTCTAGACCCCCTCTGGCTTCTCAACCACTTCCAGTTCCTTGACCAGAAGCAAACTGACGGAGAGCACCGAGCTCTTATTTTCTCCCGCTATGCTGGCCCCGGTAGCCAGAGGTACCCCATCGGCTTCTCTGGAGATTCTATTGTCACTTGGGACTCGTTACGCTTCCAACCTGAGTTTACTGCCACCGCTTCGAACATCGGCTACGGTTGGTGGTCGCACGATATTGGTGGCCACATGCATGGTTGTCGAGACGATGAGCTGGTTGCCAGATGGGTGCAGCTGGGCGTCTTTTCACCCATCATGCGCCTGCACTCTTGCGATACTCCGTGGGGATCCAAGGAACCCTGGAACTATCGGCCAGCCGCGGAGCGTGTAATCACTTCCTTCATGCAACTCCGTCATCGGATGATTCCCTACCTCTACACACTGAACACCGATTTCGCTGAGAATGATGAGCCACTCGTCCAGCCTCTCTACTGGAAATTTCCGTTGAGGAAAGAGGCCTTTGCGTATCCCAATCAATACTTCTTTGGTCCATCACTCGTCGCGGCCCCTATTGTCGACCTTGCCAACCCCAAAACGCTTCATGCGCCTGTCAAGGTTTGGCTTCCACCAACAGCAGCTCGATATATCGACATATTTACTGGGACTGTATATGACAGCGATAGAGAAATCCAATTGTGGCGCACTCTGGCGAACATGCCTGTGCTTGCACCTGAGGGCTCCATCATACCCTTGGACGCTGCCCAAGTCCCGATGAATGGCGGAAAGAACCCCACGTCATTCGAAATCCTTGTGGCCGTTGGCCAAGATGGCATATTCACGATCATTGAGGAACCTCAGGACGACTGCTCTGGAGATAATGACGCGGGTTCAGAGCGGTCTATCAACGTTGAATGGAGTCAAGAGTCAGGCGAGCTGACCATCGACGAGCCAGGTGGTCGAGACTGGAAAGTTAGATTCATGGGTGTTCTTGAAGGCGAAATCGTGTCCGGAATCAAGGTGTTGATCGGGGACTCCGAGACAGACCAGGCAAGCGTCAGCCTGTCTGCTCAAGATCATCTGTCTGCTGGGCTTCTGGTACAAGTGCCGGTCGCTGCAATTTCTGCTGGAGATAGCAAAATGATGATCCGGTTCGCTCAACCTCCTCGAATTAGTTGTGTTGACTTTACGGAGCGATTCCGAGATCTGGTGTTGGACTTCCAGATCGAGTTTGCTTTGAAAGACCCGATCTTCGCCATCCTAACGTCAGATAAGCCTGCCGCGGTCCAGGTTGGTGAGCTACTCAGTGTTCCCTGCGAGGAAGCTGTGAAAGGGCCTCTGTTGGAGCTTTTGGTGGCTGACAGTCGAACGAAATGAGTGCACTTGAGACTAGTAAACGTAGACATAGAAAGAATTCACAGAATTTCCATGAATCGATTTCATTTTGTCCGCATGACTTTTTTGGATTATTTGTATTCCGCCTTTCAGCATGGGCATATCTAGCTGTCCCAAGTTGGTGGCTCAACGATCCAAGCCTTATGCTCATCGTCAAGCAAGCTGAAAGCACCATCTCCAAGCCCCTTGACCCACTTCTCTGACCACCAGCGCGGTGGAAGCCGTCGTGGGATCATGCAAAAGTATGTAAAGATCACTAGGGCTTCTTGTGATGGTTCGGGCTGTTGAAGCAAGGCAATGAAGTCTCCCCTGTGGTCTGACAAATTGCTTATCAGGAGAAAGGCATGAATTATTTCTCGGGTCTCGGGATACTCGCATAGCACCCCGAAGGTGGCTTCCAGTTCCTGAGCCGCATGCAAGTATGTGGAGATCTCTGACTTGGCACAGCCATCTTTCACAGTGTTCATGTGCTGAAGAAGCGAGTCGAGGTAGGGGCCGTGAGCAACAAGATCCCGGTAGGAGTACATTTGCACCATATGCTCAATGAGGGGATGGGTGAGGCTGCGGCTGACGAGTAACGACGAGACCAGCGAGAGATTTCTAGAGCCTTTGAAAAATGCCATCCAGTCGGGAGTGTCGTTTTCCGTCTTTCCGGTGCGACCGAAGAAGGCGGCGTGAGAGTCATCGGTCTGAGAGATGACTACACGAACGTTAGATATGGTCTGGTTGTAGTTTTCCTGAGCCCGGCCATAGCCACAGCTTACCATGGAAGTTGATGAGAACGGAATACAAGAACATGTTCTCTTCTGTTTCCGTACTTTTTGAATCATGATTGTGGTGTATCAATTCTCGAACAGTCGCGGCAGCCAGGTTGTGCTGAGTGAGGGCATACCGAACAAGCGTCTCGCCCCTGACGGGGTTAACATGACCTAGGTGGCAGCGCTCCCCGCAAGGCAAGTAAACTTGTCAAGTTCAATCAATCAATCAATCAATTATGAAGCTATCGCTAGTCAATCAAGTCAAGTTTGAGGCTCAAACTTGATTGATTGCCTTGACTCTTTTAACAGGGGGGGAGGGGGGCTACTAGGGCTTATGGGGCCTTATAGGGGGGCCTTAAGGGGGGGCTTAAGGGGGGGCTTAGGGGGCTAAGGGACCTGGAAAAGTCCGGAAAATCGTTAATCCAGCCCGACTCTCGGCCCTGAAAACCCGGCTCCGGGCCCCCCCTTTTAGCCCCCCTTCCGGCCCCCCTTCCGGGGGCCTCCCCTCCGGGGACCACCCTCCCGGGCCCTAACCTTCCGGACCCTACCCTCTAGAGCCCTCCCCTCTAGAGCCCTTACCTCTAGAGCCCTCCCCTCTAGAGCCCTCCCCTCTAGAGCCCTCCCCTCTAGAGCCCTCACCTATATGTGGGGATATTTGCTAATTAATTGCAATTAATTGGCAATCAATCAAGTATAGCATCGCGATGTGGCAATCAAGTCAATTATGGGCCTCAAACTTGATTGATTGCCTTGGGGTGGGCGCTGCTAGGTGGACGGCCGAGAGAGCAAGAATGCTCCGCATGACGTAATCACAGCGGAAGCCTGCTTTAGTAGTATTCCTGAGCCAGAAAGTCCGAAGAAGAGGGCTGAGTGTGAGTGAGTCGTGGGTCCAGAGTGTCCAGTGATAGATAAGCTCTAGGTCCAGCATGTTGAGGTCTGGTGCTTGACTGGGGGCGAGGGTGGGCCTGTCCAGAGGCTCATGTTCGCGAAAGCTACTGGTAGACCTTAACGTAATGTCGCAGTCTGCTTTCTGCTTGATACATTGATGACATATGGGTTGCTCTTCGTCGCACTGTTGGATTTACCCTCAGATACTCGGTTGGGATTAAGAAGACACCGGTACTTACCTTGACCTTCCTCCTTTTGCATGTCGTACATCCCGTGCGAACCTTCCGATGACTCTTTTTGGGGCCGCGACGCAGTGGAGGTAGGTCTTCCATGTTAGGACTTGGCTCAAAGACATGTGGTCATAGCCGAGGTAACGGAGCTGCAGATGAAGTGACCGTTCAACCAGTTTCAACCCCGGGCTGAGACAAAAAGTCGGCCTATAACCGGGCAGATGATACTGACCGATAGTAGTGTTCTGAATTCCATCAGTCGAAGTCTACGGCGCTGATGTGTCAATGATGGATGAATCCGCCGAGACTTCAGGTCCGGGTGCTTCAGTCGCCCAGCAGCCCGAGCTCTGCCATCCAACCTCAGACGGCCCCACTTCGTTCTCGCGACGAGTCCGAAGTGGATCCCGCGGAGTCTTGCGGCCATCGTCGGATGGCTTCTGGGAGGACGGGAGATTGACGGAGACCGCTTCGCCAATCACGTTCTCGATAATTCTGGCGAGAGATGTCTGGTCAATGGTATAAAGAGTTTGCGACGGGCTGCCGGCAGGGATTCTTGAATGTAGCTGTGTTGCCTGCCCAGCCCTTACAGGTGAGCAACCTGAATATAAGCGAGCGCCCTCATGAGGGTGTTGCTGCTTGCATCTGTGTTAGATTCTCTGTCCTCCCTTCCAGCTATTACTAGTAGAGATCGTCAAAAAATGTTCATTTTTATTTCATTACGTCGAGTACGGCCACTGGGAGTGATGAAAATCACAGACCTCCCGCCGGTCTTGAGCCGACATGTCAGCAATTCTTCCGCTCCACACAGCGTGTCGTCTCGAGTAGGTCGGCGAGAGGTCGCGCTCCCTTCCCAAGATAAGCCCAAATCACTGGTCGAATATCTCGTGTGAGTCGCTTCGTATTTCTCTTTTCAATACCAAATAATCAAACTGACCGGGCCATGCGCACCAGCACTTCCTTGGATGTCATTGCCAACTGGGGCCGCCAGAGCTCGATGTACCCCATGACATTTGGCCTTGCCTGCTGCGCCGTCGAGATGATGCACATCGCAGGTCCGCGATACGATCAAGACCGATTCGGATACATGTTTCGAGCCTCCCCCCGGCAGTCGGATGTTCTCATTGTAGCCGGCACGTTGACCAACAAGATGGCACCGGCATTTCGCCAAATCTACGATCAGATGCCCGAGCCCAGATGGGTCATCAGTATGGGAAGCTGCGCTAATGGAGGAGGATATTACCATTACAGTTACTCTGTTGTACGAGGAGCTGATCGTATCGTTCCTGTTGATATTTACGTGCCCGGGTGCCCTCCTACAGCAGAGGCATTACTGTACGGAATGATGCAGTTGCAAAGGAAGATGCGACACGGAAAAAAGGCCCGCATGTGGTACCGCAAATAGCGAAAAGCATGGTCACATGTCCTTCTGTACGGCACTAGGCAGGCTTGTTTCGCGACCGACTCCAGTCGGGTTCGACTCGTTACAAGTGGCTTGGACGTAAGAGCGTTTGCAACGGGCGGTCGAGAGAGCTAGCTCTACATCGCCCACCTGAGGCGCTGGCGTAGCCTAAAATAGTTACAGAAATGAGCTGGGATTTTCTTAGTTGGCGAGCCAGTAGATACATCTTTTGATGAGTCAGCGAGCTCACCGTTGAGCGTCATCGATAAGTCAACCCAATTGGTCCCCTCTTGATCGGATGATTGTCTCTCTTATCTCGGAGTCATGCAGCCACCCTACCGCAACTTGAACTTTTCATCTACATGTCCATCTCCAACCATGGACTCCTCCGCGCCGTTTTGGGGCCTTTCGCCAGGTCAAATAACAGGGAAAGATGCATCCGAGATACTGGGCAGTATTAGCATGGCTGCATTTCTATGTCTCTTGGTAAATGACTGACATATTCCTTCAGACCATTAGCGATCAGCGTGCTGAGCTTCTCCAGTTTCCCCAACTCATCACCAACTACCAACGACAGAGTGCAGACAGCTTATCAATGGCGTTTCTCTTTGTGTGGTTACTTGGAGATGTGTCGAATCTTCTCGGTAGGCAATCCTTCCGACATCTCCCGAGCAAGATCTGACATGCGTGTGTGAAATGCAGGAGGCATCGTCAACCATATCGCACCTGCAAGTCTGGCCGTATCCGCCTATCTTTGCGTTTCTGATTCGACACTCATCTGCCAATGCTTGTATTATAACCATTTGAGTCGAAAACGCATTCAAGAGACTGCGACGATGAGTCAAGAAAGACAGCCACTAATTTCAACCGACATTGAAGACACAGGGGACGTGGCGCCCCACCACGCCTCGGCATCAGGCATTGAGGCATTCCCCAGCAGTCACGACGGCGGAAGAGACGTGAACGCGAGCATTTTCCATTGGCGTTACAGTGTTGTATGCATCGTGCTGGTACAGCTGGCTGGAGTAGCTGGCTGGGCTTTGCTGTACAAAGCTGGTATTTTAACGAACAGCCTGTACGCTTTCACCGCAAAGGCAGATGACTCAAAGTCGGCGGTTGAAGTGTTTGGATCGGTGCTGGGGTATTTTGGGGCCCTCTGTTATTTATGGTATGTTGAATGAGGCCTATCGCTGAAGATATCGCTAATTGATGAAGTGCTCGGGTGCCTCAGATTGTCAAAAATTACAGGGGCAGGTCCTGTGCAGGTAAGTTTCCCGAAGCTATGGGCCACTGATACCAGACATGTGCTCACATATTCCCAGGCCTAGCACCTCTTTTCCTCTTTCTGTCCATTCTGGGCAATTTGATGTATGGTCTCAGTGTGATCGCATACAATCAAGAGAGGGAATACCTCTTGACGAGTCTGCCGTGGCTTTTTGGGTCTCTCGGAACTATTTTGGAGGACTGCGTGATTCTACTTCAAGTTTGGATGTATCGGTAAACTTGTGCAAGAGACATTGGCCAGACAGGTTAGACTTCAGGGCGTAGACTTTGTCGTCTTCATTTGAGTGGCGATATAACAGCGTCTGGGTATTATCATGACTCATAACTATCATCCTAGATCAAGAGGTGCTTCCTTTGCCCTTGCTATTGCGCATGATCCCAACCACATGAGCCACATGAAGAAGTCGCCCGTTTCTTGAACTCGGTCAGCTTCTATCGGGCTCCTTGCTCTACTTGCAAGGGATGTGATGGTGTTAGCGGCCGAGATGAGGAGCTCAAGGTCAAAGGAGCCATTTGGGCTGTATGGATGTATGACCATATCCAAGAAAAGTGATATAGCAGCATTCGTGGCATGGTATATACACGACCTGGAGTTTTGGTCAGCAGGGTTATAAATATCAACATTAACGGGTTGCGAACCAAAGACTCCATGTTGGCATATTTGAGAGAAATAGACTCAAACATCGAAGGATAGATCGACCAGCCTCAAGAGACAGATCGTAGCTCGAGTGAATCACGCTATGTAGGTCAAGTGGACCATCACTCTGGCTGTCGTCGGCGTCGTACTTCCTTACAGTGGTATGTACAAAGGTCATCAGATGTAGATACTCCAATTGCAAGGCGAAACACCTGGTGTATTGCCGAGGGTTTGTTTGGGATATTGCGAGAAGTGTTTGCGGAGAGGCTGACAATGCCGGTCGAAAGTCTAACGGTATCGACAGTCTCCAGCGTTCAATCTCTTCATCCAATTCCCGGATGTGAAGAAGCAAGGTCGTGTCTTTAGCTTCGCTGACAGCCGGAGAGTACAGAAGCCTGTAAACCTTCTCTTTAATTTGACTAAGGACGAGATCGCCCGAGAAATACGGAACTGGCCCGTCGCCAACCGAAATAGGGCGGTCTACTGGTTCATCGAAGGATCGAAGGTAGGCGTGGTTTTGGTCATAGTCTTTTGGAATGGACACATCACAGAAAACAGCTGACAAGAGAGGCGGTCTTCCCGTGCGCAGCGCCATGTCTTTGTCTGCGACATAGCATATCCAGAAGAGATTCCGAAGATGCAGTCTTTTCTTTGCAGAAAGAGTGGTTCTACCGTCTGGTGTGTTGTGCGAGGCAGAGGTGTGTCCCCCTAAGGCAGACACCATGCTGCAGGCGAGAGGAAGATAGAAGCCAGCTTCTTGCCAGTGGCCATCTAGCGTCGAATGGGTATACTAAATTGGTCTTCAGTAAGCTTTGCCATGAATTAAGACCTAGAGGCGCAACAAGAAAGACTTACTAAAGCTAGTAAACATTCAAGTATTGTTACGCTGTAATGCCCGGTGAGACTCATCAAAAACTGACGAGCTTTGTTAGCACAATCATTCGCATCAATACCAGAGTAGCCATTGCCCAAATCTTTGCAGTGGCCCATTAGACTCAAGATGCTCAAAACAGACGCCAGAGCCGCGAGCTCGGTAGGTGAGTTAGGTCTATCAGCCGATATGCCGTATGTGATGTCAAGTGTCTCGTCGAAAGAGAAACGATCAATTACTGGAAATGAGAGCCACAGCGGGGACATTAAGAATGATGACGCAAGCTCACGCAGAACTTGTTTTTCAGGCAAGCTTGATACTCCAGGAAACGCGGAAGAGAAACTCGTTGATGGCGCATAATTGGATGTGAACAGTCGCAGCTTCCTCAAGTCGACGGTCTGGCCCGTTCTGGAAGAAATCCATTGGCGACCCTGTTCAGAGAAAGCATGTATGCCTCTAAAAAACCAGTTCGGGCCGATATGAGAGGCAAAGCAGGGAAAGTCGGAAGTTGGGAGAGAGGTCACAGAACTTGGAGATTGTCGCAAGCCTGGAAAATCTGGTTCTCGAGCTGAACGAGACACGGGGGTGAGTTCAGCTGCTGCTGGGGTCGCTAAAGAAGCCGGCGTTTCTACGGAGCAGCTTGTGGGGGTGACGAAGTTCAGCGCATCATCACGCCCCAGCGGCTGCGCAGTTGCCTGCGCCAATGCCGATTCCAGGTGCTGAATGCGCTGGTACAAGTCATGGACGTCCGTCAATTTTAGCCTGATTAAAGAATTAGCGATATGATGCCAGGCGAGTTTTCCAAGTAAGTCAGTTGATTTTACCTGTTCTGCTTGGATTTACGCGGAGCTTCTCTGTTGAAAGTACATTCAGAGTCGTGGTGTCGGCACCAATCGCAAGGAACCCCTGCTTCAGGTATCAAGCACTGAATCTGCAATCCAACTTTCAGTCAGCACTGTTTGAAGATACGACAAGTTGAACAGCTTACCTTTCGTCGATAACAAATGTCGCAGGCTCGTTTCGGCGACATGCTGAGTCCTAGCAGAATCATAGACAGAAAGTTGGCTCATCGGAGGGCACGGAGGCCGTTTGTTAATGGCAAGTCGTGGACCAAGTCAAACTGACGCTGCTAGACCTTCATCAGTGAAGAATGCACAATGACTAAGCGGAGGTGGTGCCTCCGTGTCTTCCGATTACGTGAGCGTGAAGCAGTGAGGTTTCTTCCAGTAGAGGCACATGTTGTGAGGGCCTAAGATTGTCGAACATGATTCATCCCTGAAAAACCAACTCTGACACAACGAACCGATAGCCACCCACGTTCTACGCCGCACAATTTTGCCCTCGGCTCACATCACCAAGTCTCAAACGACGCTTCCATCTTGGCCCACAACCCTTGGCTCATGTATCCAGATAGCCAATAATTGCCATCTAAGTCCCGACCAATGATCACAAAGGCATTGGGTAGCCCGAAGCCCGCCTGATTGTTTTGGATGTACACCGGCCTTCCACGACGTCGTTTGTTGCCGGAGTCTTTCGCTTTAACAGCGCTGGAAAAGTCAACGTTGAAGAGGTCGGTCTTGGTCCAGTTGGAATATGTGATCATGTGCATGGATTTGTCTCCAAAGAACGGTGGCAGCTTCATCTTATTCGAACGCACCAAGGCTGCAGCGGCTTCAACTTGTGGCGTTGTTCCCAGTTCTTTGATAGCATTTCGAATCCGAGACGCCATGTAGCCCACTGGCTTGTCGAAAACGTCAGCCATAGTGCCGACCACGTTGATGAACCCGACTGCGTTTGAGAGGTAAGGTGCATCCATTCTCTCGGGGCCTGTAGATTTCAGCGGGAGCAGTCCGGTCTCGCCACCAAGGGCTTTGCGAAGAGAATAGGCGTTGTTCAGGACGAGAGTGCGCCTCCGGGTCGATGCAGTTTCGGGTAGATGAGCAGTCGCGATCTTGGTCCACCATGCGCACAGCACATCACCCTCGCTCAGGAACAGTGTGGCATTGGGCTCATGAGACCCGTCGTGCAGCTCGGTCATGGCGTCGTTGACCAACTTGTCCAGGAACAGTTTCGGCACTCGAACAACGCGAGTCTCTTGCTTACCAACGAACTCGAACAGATTGCCAATGCCCCAAGCACCGAGACTCAAGCTCGACATGAGCTGAGAGCCGAGTTTGTATGGTTCTGTTGGGTGGCAGCCAAACTTGGCAAGAGGATCAAAGTCAATCCCTGGCGCGTCACCTCCATACGGGGATGGGATTTCATCATCTCTGCCTTGCAGCATCAACACCCAGGCGTCGAGAAGAGCCTTTTTTCCAAATGCGTCAAACAGCGTATGAGGCCAGTAAAGCGTGACCAGCGTTGCATCCGAAAACGAAATAATGTGCAGTCCCAGCTGAGGCGCATCACTAGTCAGATAATCGTTCAGACTCAAGGGCGGATTGTCTGGGCGTCGCATAAGTGAGAGATAACTATCCGTGTCTCCCATCACAACTGGGCGCTTGTCATCCTTCGGTTGTAAATGTGGCAGTTTCGAGGCTACTGAGTGCTCTCGAATCGACATTTGAGTGTTATCGATTCTTGAAAATGACAGAGCAGATCTTGTGCCACGTTCCAAATCATTGATTTGGGGGAAGTGATATTCCAGAGCACCCGCCGAACCTTTTCGCAAACGGGCTGAGATTTTTCGCCATCCTTCCCGACAAGTAAGACGCTCGAGGCTTGATCGAAGGGTGTCAGCGTCCAAAACTTCGTCAAACACGAAGAGGGAGTAGAGAATGAAAGATCGCCATATTGGTGTGTCGTCAAAATAGTGAAGCGGAGTGACAGAGTCAGTCGAGACTGCTGCTGGGGCTGAAGGTCCAAAGATGGATTCCAACATCTCGTTGCTAGATTGAATGCATTTTGATAACGCTCAGGATGATGCGAAAACGCAGGGGAAAGGGTTGCCTGATATTTATCACGCCGTGTGACACTGCACCACTCATAGGTTGATCACCTAAATTATCACCGCATGCTCGCCAGGGGACTGCGTACAGACGGCCCATCGGTTAGCCAACAAGAACCTGTCGTCTACTCATGGGATACGCTGGCAGAGTGTTGATAATACGACTTCCATGCAGTCAGCATGCAGCCTGATTGCCTTGCATTGACTACGCCGGCCTGAAGAACAGTCCCCTGTATGGCACGGGTTGAACACGAGGACTAGCGAAAAAGACTGTAACCCCTGCTTTACTGATTGGTCAATTCGGACTTGCTCTTGAAGAAAACGGCGGGGTTGGCAAACGTCAATGTCTATCAGATATGATTTCTACTTTAATAACTAAGAGGCCCAACTAATACAGCCCCGCTAATGATGTGCTTGTCTTGGCCTCTGCAGGTCTGTCATCTGCACAAGGCTAGCTTCATCGCTATCACTGTAGGAGACCGTGAATGTCTTCTGAAACTTGATATGGCGGTCCTGAGAATCGACATCCGGGCTCGTTCTATCAACAGTAACCACGCCAACAGTTCGGGGCTGGCTGCGAGCAGCCTTGGACCTGTTATCGCTCCCGTACTGTTGATAGTACTGGCGCCCCTTGCTCCTGATTGTCGATCCGGAAATAGACGGGAACAACTTGACCAGAATCATGCGAATAGACGGTAGACAGGCGCACATGATTCCGACGATGATCTCGATGGTGCTCCAGATGCTGACCTCCATGAAGTCCATCGTTGGGTTCGAACCTTTTGCAAAATCGACGAGAGATTGTAAGCGGATGATGCTCACGACGGTCACACTGGTGCAAGGTTAGCCACGAGTCAATCAGGGTCTTTGCAAGGGTGCTTACAAGGTCCCCACGATGAACATCATTGCCACGCCGATCTTCTTCTTCCAGTGCAGCCTTAGAGCCCTCAATTGCCATAACGGGATTGCCAGCATCCACAAATCCAAGGCAATGCTGATAGCGGCATTTGACCAACTGATAGCATTAGCGTTCGCACAACTACCTTCGTGTAGCCCGTCCCACTTGGTCCAGAAGTAGTGGATAGGCTTGCACTGGAAGACGGCGGTGATAACGAAGGCCAAGCCCCACACGATGATGAATATCGTTGTTCCCCAAAGCATCCGCTGCACTTCTCGGGCAGGGAAGATTCGCATGTAGAAGAAAATGATGGCCAACTTGACGAGCGTCACCTGCAGAAAATACAGCCAAGCCATGATGTAGAAGTAGAACAAGACGTTGGTGATCATCTGCGGCGTCAGCGTGTAGATATCGCGGCCGAGGCCATTCTTCGTCGTTCCGTAGACAGTGATGATGGCGCTCGGCATGGCAGCAACCAATGTGGCCAAGACGAACCAGTCGTCCCAGCCAATGTCGAGGCCTGCGAAGAAGATCTTGTACGAGAATCGTGCCAAGACGAAGACCGCCCCCAAAATGGCCATGACATTCGAGAGTATCACGTATTCCTGGGATCGGTCGCGCACCGGAGCGCCGCAATTCGTGAGGCTCGCATTCTTGGTAGCTGAAATATCGGCAGCGTTAGATATCAGTCAGAAGGCAAGAAGCTGAGAAAACATACCAAGAGCCTCAGGGATCGTGCAACTTCCCGTAACACACAGCGTGACGTTATACTGAAATGCTGCGTTTGTACATATGCAAGTCTGGTTTGTAGGAGCACACAGGCCGCCTTGGAAGGCTTGAGCTATGCATTTTGTCTGTATTCGCAGCTGGTCAGCCAATGCCAATCTTGAGGCTGATGATGATGATGAAGTCCGAGTCAGCGTTTGACAAGCGGACAAGGGAGGACGTACGGCGCAAACCGGATAGCTGGGTTTATTGGCGGAGGTCTGCTGTGCCGTCGCGATGGACAAGACGGCCAGGACCAACACCAACACGAGTCGATGAAAGGATGCCATGTTTCTTGGCCGGCAGCAGGACTGCTGCTGGCAATGACTCGGATGATCTTTGCTTAAGAATAAATGAAAGCAATTCCCTTCACGAAGAAAGTCCCCTGGAGTCCATGTGGCAAAGCAGGGTTCAAAATGTGCGGCCGCCACGTCCCAGAATTGTTGGCGATTTGGTCAGGAATTCTAGGGATGAACACTAGTCTCCCTCGCTTCGGCTGATGATACGCTGCACATGTGGTCGAAGGATTGGCATCACATTGCCAGTTTGCAAGGCCATTCCCGGAGGCATCTGCATCACTTCATTCAGCCTAGCACATGTTCCAGCCAGATGAGGGCCGAATGAACCGTTGGTTGTGAGAGACTCCGCCCCCATGCCGCTTCTTGGCTCCCTCAAACGGAAGCGAGTCCCGTCCTCGCGTTCTGGCCAAGAGCCCCTGCAGCAGAAAATGCATTAACAAATCGAAGCCACCAGCGGCACAGCAGCTCAGAATCCTGCTGCCCGGAAATTAATACCCTACCAGATCTCGGGTTCGACGCCACTGAAGAACAGCAATGCGCCCAACATCTTCAATCCCGTGAGCGGCACAGAAGCAATTCTACGTGCGGCGCGGACGGCAGGATTCATTCAGCAATCGAGGGTCGATCTGGTTCATCCCATCGTTGTCATTTTAGCCTCTTTTTAATTAACTCTAGATCTGTGCGCGCTGGGCTGAAGACTGGAGAAGATTATCCCTTCCCGCCCCCGCGGGTGCAATCATTCTTGACACCCATCGCCGCCGTCCGGGCCACCCGGTGTCTCATCCGTATTCCCCGGGTAAGGCCGAATCAGGGGCTCATGCATGGAATCTATGGGTCCATCGGGTGTCACTATCTACAATAGGAAGTTCTGTAATGGGGTCTTCGATAAGTATGCGTGTGCCTGCAAGGATGCCCGCGACCGCGTACTCGGCCGATCCAGTTTCGGGCATCCGGCCGCAGGCTATCGATGTTCGAATTTCAGAACCAACAGGTGAATATGGCGCATGAGAGACTCTCCAACGTCGCCGCCAACAATGTAGCAGACCAGATGGGGTCTCGCTCCGCCCCAGGCCGAGGTTGCGCATTTGTCGTTGCAGGGAGGGTGGAATTCGAGATGAAAT